ACGTGGTTGATTACGTTACTGTTCATCTGTCCATCATCGTATAAAGCCCGCCCTGACAATTTGATTGGCCCGCCAGATATTGTGCGAGCATACTTGCTCTACTACTGAGCAATGCCAGACCGAACTTCCCGACCTCAAACGTTGTGGGCGGGACTAAGTTCGGAATGGCACCCAGGCTACCTTAGTGTTGCCTTGAACGGTTAAACATAAATGCAGTTGAATTTTTCTATTGCTTCATAAGGTACATACAGGTGTTTAGCATGATAGCAATGCATTTAGGTATTCATACAACCCATTCAGACATCCTGTCCTCCACTGCGATGGCAGCTCCAGTTTCAAGCATAGGTCAGTGACTTGAATTGATAACGCTCTGACCCACTGGAAGCTATGAGGCCTCCCTCCACGCCTGATTTAAAAGAGGATAAAAAGTCTCCCACCTCCAAAGATCTTTCCATGATTTAATAGAGACATACTTCTGCCCATTCTCCATGCTTCATAAAAGCTAGGCTAGACTGAGCTAGCTGCCTTTCTCCTTCTGACCATACCCTCGCTGCCTCTGAGGTTCCCCTGGCGCCGTCAGTACTAATCTGTCCCAGTAGCACAATCTGTGACATGACCTTATTTGCACACATGCAACCTGACATGCATCCAGATCTCTATTTAACGCGCTTTAGCCAATATGTTAAATGTATAGTGGAAGATGTTCTTTTTCCGGGTGGATCATCAAAATAAATGGGCTCCCTAATTGTCAATCATTCTGGCAATATGTTTTCACCTAACCCTATGGCGAGAATTAGCTCCCCTCCTGCACTCTGATTGACTGAAAAACACTGAAAACAGATTGAAATATAAACAAAAAGGGAACTTTTAAATATAATGTTAATGTTTTCATATTTCTAATGCATGGTTGCCCTAAAATTAAGAGTTTTGATGGAAAGATAAGGTCGAATAAATACGATTTTTACTTGTATGGAGACAAGTTTTAGTCGATGTGCTACAGTCAGTGTCCGATTAATATATTCTCTGCTCAGTGGATGCTTTTCCCTCTTTTGCTATCAACATCATTCTATATCATTTTTCACAAAACATTAAGAATATGTTTAAAAGTTCTTTTTTCGTTCATATTTCAATCTGTTTTCTTATCAAAGTGCGAGAGTTTGGAGTGATTCACGCTCCCGTGACAGGGGAGAAAATTCTCAGTAGGCAAGAATTTCTCTGCATTCATCTGTCCGCCAAACCGCTTAATTTTAGGGCATCCATGCATAAGAATTATGAAAATATTAAGAATATGTTTAAAAGTTCCCTTTTCATTCATAATTCAGGCCGTTTTCTCATCTGTGTTCGAGAGGGGAGGTGTTTCTCAGCATAACACGGTGGTGAGTCTGACATAGGGAAAAAATTTCAAATCTTCTTTTGGAAAATAAGCTTGAATGAGCAATGCAAACTTTTAAACGCATTCCCTCTGTAGAGCAGGTACGGGGTTGTGCATGTGCATTGTTTGTTTTTTTTTAAGTAAAGAGGCCGGGTCTCTTAAAAAAAATCATGAAAATCCTCCACATAACCTTTAAGGTTAGCTTATGCTATCAATAGATGAAATACTAACAGCAAATTCTACACTTTTCTTTGTTGACTAACATTAATTGACTGTTTCTTCTACCAGTGCTGCTCAGTGGAGCAATGGGTAGCACTGCTGCCTTGCAGCAAGAAGGGTCTTGGTTTTATTCCCGGCCCAGGGTCTTTCTGCAGGGAGTTTGCATGTGTGGGTTCTCTCTGGCTTCCTCCCACAGTCCAAAAATATGACTGTTAGGTTAATTGGCTTCTCCAAGTTCTCCTTAGGTGTGAGTGTGTGCGTGAATTGTTGTTTGTCCTGTCTGTCTCTGTCTTGCCCTGGGATAGACCGGCAACATTGACAGCTGGACATAGGCACCGGCTCCTCAGTGACCCAATGCAGGGATAAAGCTACAGATAATAACAAATATAATATTGTAGCAGCAGCTTGTATGCTAACATAAGCCAGAGTTTTAACTATAGCTAATAGTAGAGTTTTTACTAAGTGATGCCTGAATACAGGTTTTACCTTTAAGACTATAAATCTTGTAAGCTTCTTTTTGTTTATAATCTACTTTTTCTTGGTCCATCATAAAATGTCCCTAAATAACCATAAAGGTTGTATTTGTACTGTCTTAAATAAACTTTAGGTTCATACTGTGGATTAAAAATGGTGTACTTTCAGGTCAGTACACGTGTAAGGATGGTAAAAACAGCCCCTGTCTGGTCTACGTCAGTTTCAACCAGAAAATCTACATCTACTGGAACGTGGAGCTGGACAGGATGGAGTCCACCAACCTGTTGCGAGTTCTTGAGGAGAGACCTGAATTTAAAAGCCAGCTAAAGGCTCTTGGAGTCGGTGAGTGCTCTAACAACTGGGGGGTTTTCGGGGGGGTCATCTCGAGGAAGCAAATTCACATGAGATTGTCCTTCATTAAATTCAGCCAACATCGGCTCAGTTGGAAGTTTTATTTAAACAGGAGACCAACTCTGTCTGCTTGTAACCAAGAAACGTTCCTGAATCTGGCAGCCTGACTCTGACATGAATGGTAATGAGGAGGAGGAGAGTAAATCTTGCTTGCAGTGGGTTTACAGCCCACTTTCCTTCACAGTTTCAGAAATGTGTTCATGTGCTTTGATGCAGAGAGACATAATAGGACTGACATTTCTGCTAAAAATCGGGTTAAAATCAAAGATCTAACCAGAAAATTCCCAATCACAACCAGCTGCACAAACAAAAAATGGAGGAGACGAGTCTCCAACTCAGGCCTTCAGCCACCAGATGTGGAGGATCATACATAGAATTTGTTTATTTTTGATGAATAACAAAAAAAGAGATAAAAAAAAAACCCAAAATGGGACGTTTTAAAAGTTAAATACTTTTCATTTTATTATTTAGGTAATAAGTGATGTATATAAAAAAAATGTAGTATGATGTATGTATGATTGTCAGGTCTAAGCACCTAAAACATCATACATACATTCAGGGAAAGAAAGAAGGTACAGAGACAATTAATTTAGTTTTACTCGCGAGGAGAGTAGGAAGAGACTGCGGAGTTTACAAATCTCCAACCCACTCTGCGGTCCCAGCGTTCTCCTCGCTATTTATTGAAATCAGTGGTCCCCGGTTACAACAGCTTAGACTACACGGGGGGGGGGTGGGGCCAAGATAAGGAAGGCTTGCAGTCTCATTAAACATGTCCTCTAAATCTTAGGGTTGAGTCAAAGTTTAAGCTGTTGAAGCCGTTCAGCAAAGTTCAGCAGGTTGAGTGGTGCTGGTAGATCAACCACAACCTCCCCAAAAGCAAATCTACATACTATACTTCAGAAAAGATGGCTATGAACACATGCACACAGCTTTATGCATTATAACACTACACAGATACATTTATATACAATTATTCTAACAATGATGTATATAAGAAATAAAAAACATTAGAACTGTAAATTTACAGTCACATGTTTATATTACTGTTTTTATATATTAATTTTTTTTTTTGTTTACTATTTTTCAAGGCTGCACATGAAATTGTCCAGAGAGCTGTTCCAAACAAAATTTCTTTTTGTTTTACACTTGTGTAAACAAAATGAGAAATAAAATCTAAGTCTAAGTGATGCACAATTGTTTAGTTATAAAAAATTATTTCAGCTTTTTTATTCTCATTAAACTGTCATAAGTACATAGCAACAAAATTAACTCAATGCATTTAACCCATCCCCTTGGGGAGCAGTGTGCTTCCATTGTGCGGCGCCCGGGGAGCAGTGTGGGGTTAAGGGTCTTACTCAGGGACTCAGAGTGGCAGTCTGTGGGAGTGGGGCTTGAACTCAGAACCTCTGGATTTCAAACACTTTGCCTTAACCACTAGGCCACTTAAATAAGTTTATGTCCTGAGTGTGATCAGTTATAGTATCCATCTTTAATTTTCCTCAACTAAATAAAGTTTTTGAGCCACAATACCTTAAATCAGGGGTCTTCGATGTTTTCCAGGCCAAGGACCCCCAAACTGACAGCGAGATGAGTGGGGACCCCCTAATTATTTATATTGTATGAGATTGTGTTATATCAAACTGGTCCTATAGTTACTCTATTACATATGGAGTCCTGTAACTAAAGTAATTTCTCCCTGGGATTATTAAAGTATTTCTGATTCCTGGTTGATGGGTCAGGTGTTGTGAATGAAACGGTGTCCAGCTTGAAAGAGCTCCTGTGTGTCGCTGAATGTGTGCATTGATGACTGAAAGACATCTTCTGTCTCCATTTATCTGTTTACTACAGTGTGTTGAATTCATGTTAATGTTTATTTAGAGACATTTCAATTAGTGGAAAAAATTGCAAGAGGGAATATAAAAAAAAGTCTAATCAACCAAAACTTTCGCGACCCCCATGCAGTACCTATGCGGCCCCTCTAGGGGACCCCCTGTTAAAGACCTCCGCCTTAAATTATCAGTAGCTGGTGCTTGCCTTTAATCCACTGGTTTAAAACTTCTTGTCAAACCCAGAAATGTTGGTTGTCATGAAGCCTGGACTGAATCTGAAAAATTAAATCAAACTTACCATAAAAAAAGAATAAATAACATTCCCAGAATCAGACTACTGACGTTCATCCATTCCTTTGTTAGCAAACTTCATTATCGTCATGCTGTTTTTACAGGGCTTTAAAAAAAATCTATTAAAACTACAACTTATTCTGCTGCCGGAGTCCTCAGAAACACAAAAAGATCATCATATTAGTCCGTCTCTGAGGTTCTTACTCTGTCAACCTTGGGTTTAAGATGTCATAAATACTCTGTAAAGCACTCACTAATCAGAGCCCTAATTATGAATCAGGCCTATTTTTTATTCCAGAGCAAAATGTTCAGAAGCAGCCTTCACTGTTTATGCTACTAAGCTATTGAATAAGTTCTCTTTACAATGCACAACTGCTTCTACCCTCAGCGCCCTTATAAAAAGGTTACAACATTTCTATTTGTTGCTGCCAAAGTTAAAAAAAAATGTTTTGTTTTTATGTGTCTTTTCATATTTCTTTAACTTCTATGTATAAGCACTACCATATATCTTTGGAAAAAGGTGCTATTAAAGCACCTTTTTCCAAATTTTCTAGGCTTACTTAAATTAGATCATGAAATTAATTTTAATTCCAGAAACAAATAACCTGAGTAAGTAAAAATCAAGTTTTAAAATAATAGTTTAATTTTTAGGTGGATAAAACGGTTATCCAAGCTCAGCTAGGAATGTAATTTTTCTGCTATCGACTGTATTTTATGGTTTCAGTTCTCTGTTATATTTACTTTATAAACTGCAGAGATTATGAGCCAGGAGCAAAATTTTCATTAAACCCTCTTCATTGATATTTGATCATAGAATATATAATCTGAAACACAACTAAGACTGATTAAATGTAGATAAAACCTACTATGAACAAAAAGGTCTCTAAAGTTGGAAAAAAACTGTAATCCATTTAAGTAGCAAGATAATAAACCAAAACAGAAAATTAAGGATTAATTACATTAATTTGTAAAATGACAAAAAAGACAAAAATTTCTCATTTTCGAGGTCTGATAATCATCATTGAGGTAATTTATAATGAGGTTGTTTATATATTGGACGCAGTGTCTGCACTGGAAAAAATCTAAATCTAGAAAAGTAATTTTTTCTCAAAATAAGTGCATTTGTACTTGGATTAAGGAGGTAAAAGAGACATTTTGCCAATGGAACAAGACAATTTACACTTAAAATAAGAAAAAACTATTACATTTTCTTATTTCAAGTGCATATTATCTAATTGTCTTATTTTAAGAGTAAAAATACTCATTCCATTGGCAAACTAGCTGATTTACCTACTCAAGTTAAGGGTAAATACACTTAATTTAAGGAATTTTTTACTTATTTGTAGATCGTTTTTTCCAGTGTGTGATCATAAGTTAGGCTACAGTTACCCTCTAATTTACTAATTAAACAGTAGATTTATTTTAAACTAAAGAGATCTGCTGGGAAAATGGCTGCTGATTGATTGTAAGATTTTTTTTTTCCTTCCTGATTGGCCTTAATCCACGACTGAGAATAGATCCTGGTTTCAAGACGTTTTCAATAGACGCTGGAGCATAGAGTTGTCAACATCAGCTGTTTGTAATCCAGCCATCCATGTCAAACCGAAGCTAAGCTAACCTGATGCTGCCAGTTTTCCATTTAACAGCTCATAGGAGGGTAATGGAGTCCTCTCATAAAACTTTCACATTGACTGACAGAGGAGGGCAGAAGGGAAATTTATCTTTTCCAGATACAAACAAATCTGCAGTCTGTCCATCAACTCTGAATCTTGTTCTCCCTGACTGCTTTTCCTTCTCCCCTTCATCATAACAGCTTTTACCTTCAGTCATCGCCTGGTTAATTATTCTGAATCCTCTCCGGTCGTTTATTTTTCCTGTTGTTAATTGCCTTTCATGGTGAAACATTAGGCTTGCTGCTGTCTCAGTGATTTTCAAGCTATCTAAAATGTGAATTAGACCATTCTTTAGTCATCATGGTTGACTGACCTGTCAGCTGCATCGTGTGATAAAGTGGAGACCCATTTTTAAAGGAAGAAGTAAGAATACTCAGAATCAGTGCAAAAAAAAAAAATACATATTTTTATATCATTAGCTGTCACACAAAAAATAACGTTCAACTCTGTGCTGTGGATTATAAATGCCCTAATCTAACTAATGTCAGCTGCAGTCCTCGAGTTTTTCTCTCGCTGTCTCCTTTTTTTTTTTTTTAGCTTTCTTTAATTTGTGCCCTTTGGTCAAATGTTGATTATAAAGAGCCTCTGGTTTTCTGTCGCAACTTGTAACGGTTTCTAAACCAGGCAGCTGCTCTCGCTTATTTCTAATGTGTGATTAAGGACTTCAGTCGTCTGCTCATTTCAACTCAAGCGAAAAAAAAAAAAAACTTGAAGAGATATGTAGTATGAAAAGGTAAGCAGCCTTTTCGTCTCACCTGAAATTCAAAAGAGAGGATTTTTACCCCGAAGATAGTGGATTTAGAGCGTCACACTCATCACAATCTTAACTAAACAACCATAAAATAAATTAGCTTTTTAACAATAGCATTACAGCTTCGTTTGACTGAAAAATGTTTTTTCTTCCTAACAATTCACCTCACACACATTTAGGGAAGTCATTAATGATTTACAGATCATGGGGGAACAACTTGTTATGAAGGTATTATTTTCCAGAAACCTTATGTTTTAAAATCTCAGCTTCCTTTACACAGCTTTAGCAACTCCACACAGTTAATAAGTAATTTTTATGTTATTATTTAATGTGTGGCTCACAGCATCTTTCAGCGTGTTTCTTTCTCCTGACTACCATTGGAAAAAA